CTCGGCTTCATTAAAGCACCTCCAATTAAGCCATCAGCGCCTGAGCACGTGTATTAATCCTCGGCTTTCCCTTTGCCGCCTCCCTCCCCTCCCCTCCTCCTCTTCTTCTCCTCCCAGCTCCCTCCTCCCTCCCCTCCCTGCTCCCTCCTCCCTCCCCTCCACTTCCTCCTCTTCCCCTCCCAGCTCCCTCTTCCCTCCCCTCCCCCTCCCCCTCCTCCTCTTCCCCTCCCAGCTCCCTCCTCCCTCCCCTCCACCTCCCCCCTCCCCTTCACCTCCTCCCTCCCCTCCACCTCCTCTCCTTCCCCTCCCAGCTCCCATCTCCCTCCCCTCCATCTCCTCTTCTTCCCCTCCCAGCTCCCTCCTTCTACCCTCCACCTCTCCTTCCCCTTCCAGCTCCCTCCTTCTCCCTTCCCTCCCTTTCATCTCCGTTATACCCTCTAATTTCCTCCTCCCTTCTCTCCCTCTCTTCTCCCCCTGTCTCTCCCTCCAACTCCTTTCTACTCCCCTTCCCTTTCCCTCGACGCCTCCATCCCCCTCAACATTCTCCTCCTCTGTTTTCCTTCTCCTCCCCGTCATCTCCCTCTTCCCTCTCTTTCTCCCCACCATTCCTCTCCTTTTCCTCCCTTTCCTCCTTCCTTCATTCACTCCACCCCCTCCTCCTCCTCTCCCTATCCCTTCCTTTCACCCAATCCCCCCACTACCCCCGCCCCTGCCGCCCTCCGAAGTAAAGGTGACGCCCCACTTCAGAGGAGCCCCTAGCCGCCCCTCCGAAGGTGAGCTCCAGAAGGGGAGATCCGCCACGCCGCTAATTAGAGGCGATTACCCCGCTCGTTAGCGCTAATGAAGGATCGGTGGCGAGCGACTGCAGGACCTCCTAATGGGCCCGCGAGTCCGGTCACTCGGACACGGGTCAGCGCCCCTGCTCGGTGGGCCCGCACGACAACGCAGCCTCCCCGCCCGCGCCCGCCGGTTCCCCCGCGCCCACGCCCGCCGGTTTCTCCCACCCCGAGTTCGGCCGCAACGGAATAAAGGACGATTTTACGGACGAAGCGAACCCGTTCCGACAAGCAGCCAGCCGTGGGAAGTGCCGTCGGGTCAGCTGTGACGAGCTTAATGACGCACGGCGGCGGGAGATGTCCATCACGAAGGCAGAATCATCGCTTTAATCACGAGGCAATAGTCAAAATGCACGAAGAAAAGAGAGACATGAGAGAGACAGAAAGAGAAAGAGAGAGAGAGAGAGAGAGAGAGAGAGAGGGAGAGAGAAAGGGAGAGAGAGAGAGAGAGAGAGAGAGAGAGAGAGAGAGAGAGAGAGAGAGAGAGAGAGAGAGAGAGGGAGAGAGAGAGAGAGAGAGAGAGAGAGAGAGAGAGAGAGAGAGAGAGAGAGAGAGAGAGAGAGAGAGAGAGAGAGAGAGAGAGAGAGAGAGAAGGAAATAAAGAGAGAAAGAGAAAAACAGAGATAAAGGGAGAAAAAAGGGAAAGCGAGAGGGAAAAAACACCCTAAACAATATATCTGAAACCCATTCAACTTGTCAAATCATCGATAGAATACACACAGATTTCAAACTCCCTATCCCTCTGTCTCTTGCTCTTACCCTCACATTCACTCCCACTCTTGTCTCTCAATCTTTCCCACTCCCCCTAACACTCCCTCTCCCCCTTCCCCCTGCTACTTACTACCTCTCCCTCTCACTCTTTAAAATGAAACGTATAAACCTAAACACCAGCGACTCCTCTGAATTACATATCATCTTTGTTTTCGGTATTTATTAAGAAATAAAAAAAATGAATAGTTTTCAGTGAGTATGTGTATCTAATAGTTGAAAAGTATAGAGGGGAGCGTGTGTCTGTGATGAAGGGAAGAAGTGGGAGAGATGGGAAGAGGGAGGGAGAAAAGGAGGAAGGGAGATAGAGGCAGATAGACAGCTAGATAGATAGATAGAGAGGGAGAAAGGGGAGGAGGCAATAAGTGCACAAGATGCCCACAAACGAAAATAAAAAGGGAGACGGAACGGGAAAAAAGTTTTAAGGCGAGAAATAGATACAGATATATACGTTTATGCTCAACAGCCGTTACCAAATATGTACCAAAATGTCTGCAAGCATTTTGAAAATACATTTCTTTTTTTCAAACAAAAATGAAACTGAAACAAAACCACATTCGCTTCCCACACGCACGCACTCGGCCCATCAGTCCACCACCGCGTTCCATGATCCGCGGAAACAAGTAAAAAAAGAAAAAAGAAAAAGAAAGAAAAAAAGGAAAAAAAGTGAATCTTCTACGAGGCTTCCGACTTCCTCATTCTAACGGAAGAAGACAAATGCGTCCTTGAAGGAGCATGAGGAAACCCACTAAACCATCAGTGACCAAGGCAGTGACCAAGAAAACATTACGGGGACATCCGTGGGAATTATAAGGCCGGCGTGGGAAAATTCAGGGATGCGTGAGAAAAAATACCTGTTCGGCACCTGGCCCTGCCGAGAGAGGCGGTCGTTTGAGAAGTATCTATACTCTTAATCCTCACATGTTCTAAACAATGAGAGGAACTTAGATAAACACAAACACATAGTAACGTGTACACACATTAATTAAATCTACACTGTCAATACATTCCAGTTTTTACTACGTCTGATGGAGAACCCTTGGCGAGTTCGAAACGTCACGCTTTTATTGCGTTTATATTGTGGCTGTGTGCGTGTCTTTTTAATTCTAGAAGTTCAATGGAAGTAATGGATATATGAGGTATTTGAAAGGGATGTTCGGTAGGATGGAAATACAGGAGGGAGTCATGTTAACGAAAAAAGAGAGAACAAACGAAAGAGAATTTAAACAGATCTAGAAATGAAAGAAAAAACAAATAGATTCTAAAAAAAAGAGTCACTAATAAAAAATACAGAAAATGCATTTCAAACCAACAAGAGATAAAGAAGAAGAAGAGGAGGAAAAAAGCAATTGAACAGACGATAAAAATCCATAGAAATCCGTTTCAAAATCCCGCTTCAGTCATGGCCGCCGCTCATAGCCCGGGGCGAAATGAATGACAGTCGGATATGAAAAACTACAAAAAAAGAAGTGATAAAAACAAAGAAGAAGAAGAAGAAGAAACGCAAAGGACCAGAAGAACAAATTAATCCATAGAAACACATCTCAGAATCCCGCTCCGGTCATGGCCTCGCAGCCCGGGGCGAGGTGAGTGACAGACGAAACAGCAGCGCCCTCTGAAACGTCCCCCGGAGCCAAGAACCCGCTATCCATCCCATTTCCGGATCATCCGCATTGCTCCATCTCCGAGTGAAAAGCTCGACCCGGTCTACGGATAGATTTGATTAGAAGTTTCCATCTGCGAGTTACATGCATTACTCGAGTAGTCTAATTAGAGGATTACCCGCATCTACCACCATCACCGGATTACCACATTACCCTAACTTCGGATTACCAGCATTACTCCAAACTCCGGATTACACGCACTTACTCCCATTTCCGGATTACAGCATTACCAAGACTCCGGATTATTCGTATTTACTCCAACTCCGATTTTCACCCGCTTAACTCCAATTCCGGATTATCCACACGCCCGTCCGAACACCTCTGGCGGGCGAGAGCGGGCGCGCGTCTCATCGTCAGCGTCGACAAGAGCCGGAATGACGTATAACGGCTTCCTCCTTGCTTGCCTCTATTTTTTACGACTTCGAAATCCTCCTCGGCATTTCCCGGATACATTTCGTGCTCCTAAATTAACAAATCAGTTCCTCAAAAAAAGACCAATTAACTAATTAACGGGGACGACAGCGCGTAAGGGTCACTCCCGCGTTGTTTCTCTTCCGTACATGACATCTAGCGGCCGTGACATCTAATCATCCGACGAAGGACTGGTTTCTCCGCCGCTCTTGGCGGTGCGCTGGTCATTCTTGCCTCTATTTGTTTTTCCTTCGTCTTCTTTTTCTTTTTCTTCTTCTTGTTCCTTCCTCCGTCCGCCTCCTCCTCTCTCCTCCCCCTCCTCCCCTCTCTTCTCCTCCTCCTCCTCCCCCTCCCCCCTCTTTTCCTCCTCCTCCTCCCCCCTCCCCTCTCTTTTCCTCCTCCTCCTTCCCTCCCCTCTCCTCCTCCCCTCCTCCTCCCCCTCCTCCTCCTCCTTCCCTCCTCCTTCCTCCTCTCCTCTCCTTCCTCCCTTCCCCTCCCCCTCCTCCTCCTTTCCTCTCTCCTCCTCCTCCCCTCCTCCTCCGCCGCATCCTCCTCCTCCTCCTCCCTTCCCCTCTCCCCCTCCCTTCTCCTCCCCCTCCTCCTCTTTTTCTTCTTCGTCCGTTTCCTCCTCCTCCTCGTCTCTCTTCCTGTTCCAGACACATACAGCGTCAGGACACGAAACGTTTATGGCTCGAGGTGGAAAATCCCTGTCTCTTCCATCGCGCGATTCCTTCAGGTTAGAAGACGCCCATCACGAAAAAATTATGAGCAGCCGTAAAGGAAGAAAAGAAAAGAAAAAAATAAAGAGAATATTAAGAGTAATCGAAAAAGGAGCCATAAAGAAAAGAAAAAAAAGAGGAAAATATTAAGATTAATCGAAAAAAAGGAACCATAAAGAAAAGAAAAGAAAATTAGGAAAATATTAAGAGTAATAAAAAAGGAACATATTAATAGCACCCGTAAAGAAAACGACGAAAACGAAAGAAAATATTAAGAACAATCGAAAAAAAAAGAAAATATGAAGAGCAACCGTAAAGAAAAAATACGAAAAGCGAAAAAAATAACCATAACTAACCATAAAGAAAAAGAAAACAGAAATATGAAGAGCAACCATAAATTAAAAAAAAAAAAAAAAACAAGAAAGAAAATAATATGAGTAAAGAGCAAAAGAAAGCAAGGAAAATTAGATACATACGAAACCGCTTCAATAACCAATCGTAAGCGTCTCATAAAATATAATTAAAACTGGGAGTTCGGTGAGCAATAACCCGGCACCAGATAAGAGCAATGAGCATCATGTGTGACGCTCGTATCTGCCGCAGCATCCGCACTCCCCCCCCACCCCACCCCCACCTTTCCTTCCTCCTCCTCCTCACCCAAACCTTCCCTTCCCCCTTCTCCAACCCCCCTCCCCCCCTCTTTTATTTCTCCCGACGCATCGTCTATCAAGAGGACCTTTTCTCTCGATCTTTTCTCTTTTCTTCGATACTTTTCGCTTCTTTTCTCTCTCTCTTTTTATTTATTTTTTTTCTCTCTCTATCCCTCCCTTTATTTTCTCTTTCTGGCTCACTCTTTCATCTTTTCCTTTCACCCCTTTCCCTCTCACTTCCTCTTTATTCCTCCGTTCGTCTTTCCCTTTTTATTCTCTTTACCGTTCTTCTTACCTCCGCCCTCTCTCTCTCTTTCTTTCTACCTTTCCCCCCTCTCTCTCTTTCTCTCTCTCCCTTTCTTCCTACCTTTCCCCCTTCTCTCTCTTTCTTCTAACCTTCCCTCTTTCCCTTTTCCTCTCTTTCTTCCTACTTACCCCCTCTCTTTCTTTCTTCCAACCTTCCCTCTTTCCCTTTTCCTCTCTTTCTTCCTACTTACCCCCTCTCTTTCTTTCTCTCTTTCTCTCTCTCCCTGCTTCTTCCCGGACGAATATATTCCAGGTCCTCCATCAAGATAAAGGCAAAGAACATCCGCTTGGTATCTGCCGGCCTTATCAGCGCGGCGGAGAAACGAAAGGAAGGGGAGGGGAGGAGGAGGAGGAGGAGGAGGAAGGGGGAGGAGGAGGAAGAGGAGGAGGAGGAAGGGGGAGGAGAGAAGGGGAAGGGGATGGGGAGGAGGAGGAGGAGGGAAGGGGAAGGAGATGGGGAGGAGGAGAGAAGGGAGAGAAAGGGAAGATGGGGAGGAGGGGGGGAAGGGAAAGGAGACATGGAGGAGGAGGAGGAGGAGGAGGAGGAGGAGGAGGAGGAAAAGGAGAAGGGAGGAAGGGGAAGGTGATGAGGAGGAGAGAGGAAGGGGGAAGAGATGGGGAGGAGGAGGGAAAAGAAAAGAGATAGGAACAAGAAAGGAGGGGGGAGGGGATAAGAAGAAGGAGGGAAGAATCTCGGGAAAAGGAGGGCAGGGGAAGTAGATAGGGAAGGTGGAGAGGGTGGAGAAAAGGAGAAGAAGAAAAGAAAGGGAAAAGGAAGAAGGAGAAATTAAGAAGGAGAATGTGATAAGGAAGAAAAAGGAATAGGGAAGGCAGGCACGTAGTCTGGTAGCCTGTTGCTCGCTATCTGAGGCTACGCAAGACGAACCAGGGTTAAAAAGGCAGGGGAATAATCGAGACATTGTGAGTGCATAAAAATGTTCTAAAAATGAGGAAATGATGCATCACAAGAAATCGATTTTTGACAGCGATTCTGTGTCTATTTGATGTTTTTTTTGTGAAAGTCCTTTTATGCTTTTCTCATTTATGTTTATCACTATAATTAGTCTATCAATTGTTATTATTATCGTTTTGATTATTGTTATCATTATTTTTCTTCGCTGAGCTAAGTAACGAAATGTAAATCGAACGTTATATTTATTAGCTATGACGGACTCTCTCTCTCTCTCTCTCTCTCTCTCTCTCTCTCTCTCTCTCTCTCTCTCTCTCTCTCTCTCTCTCTCTCTCTCTCTCTCTCTCTCTCTCTCTCTCTCTCTCTCTCTCTCTCCCTCGTGCACATACTGGGAAATGATGGTAGGTTTCCTCAGGCAGCTCTCGTGCACGTTACCGAAATTATCGTACGCATCGCACCCATCACTCATCGCCCTAAAACTATCGTGAAAATAAACGAAATTCTCGTGCATTTGCATCGCGTTATCTCACCTCCGATCAAACCAAATTTCCACGCATATTCCAGAAATTATCGTATTCAAACCTGTTATTACCGCATGAAAAAAAAAAAGCAGAAGGGAATTTTCCTGTTTATCCTCGGCATTAGCGCTAAAGATTCCGGCGCGGTTTTCATGCAAAATATCCGCAATTATTCCGCATCTGCAGCCGATGCTATCGCTCGTGTTCCCAAGGCTATTCTTACATACTTCAAACACCGCCATCAGCGTGCTTGAAATTACCATTTTACTCCGTCCGAATTTTATGCGCTTTCCTGGCCGTGCTTTGCATTCTCCTCAGAGCTATCGAAGCCTCATGAACGCACTCGTAACTTCTTTTTAACCCATTTTCAAACGCGGCAAATCTGACAAATAATTTTAAAATGGCTTTGGGGTAACGTGGTGGAGTTTAAAGGACAGAGACAGGGTGAGACGGGAGGGAAGGAGGGCGGGGGAGGGAGGGAGGGAGATTGACAGATAGAGATAGAGAGAGAGAAAGGATGGGGGTAAGAGAGAAAGAGCCATTGAGTAGGATAGAGGCAGGGAAAGACGGAGGACACACGAAGAAGAAGAAGAAGAAGAAGAAGGAGAAGAAGAAGAGGAAGAAGAAAGAAAGGAGGCAAGGATGAAGATCTAACTAATGAGCGGCCAACTATGGCTTTGACATGAGACGGACGAATGCCACTGTCGAGCCGCCCTCTTCCTTCTCTCCCTCCCCCTCCCCCTCCTCAACCCTCCAAACCCTTCCCTCCCCTTTGGCAAGCCCCTCCCTTTCCCTCTCCCTTCCCCCTTTCCCCTCCCCCCCCCGCACCCCCTGCCCAGCGGCTCATTAGGATCCGAAGCCAAAGGAACCGCCGGGACAGATTCCTCTCCCTTCGCCTCAGTATTTACATCTTTATCCAAACCGCCTTCGTTAGGACGGCGAGGGAAGCACCTGCAGCAATTAAGCGGCGCCATTAAGACAGGGAGGCGGGTGAGGGCGTGCTTCCACCCTTACGAGCTTCGGTTGCCTTCACCCTGCACGCTATCTGCTTCCTGTATTCCATCCTGACGCTCTTAATCTTTTAGGTTTTCACTCTTACCGCCGCCCGTTCTTTACCCTTACGCCCTTAAGTCTCAACTCTCTCACTCTTACCTTCAACCCTTAGCTATTTGCCTCAGGCCTTCACCCTTAGGACACCCACCCCCAAAGTCTCCCCTGAAGATCGCAGTCAACCCTTCACCCTTAGGACACCCAGACGTCTCCCCTGAAGGTCACCCTCAACACTTCACCCTTAAAGCCACTTACCCTCAACCCTTTCACCCTTAGGCCGGTCTTTCAGTCCTTTGCCCTGAAGCCTTCACTCTCCGTCCGCACACCCATCCATCCAACGCACTCCCTCAAGCAACCGCCTTGGGCCTCCCGCCCTCACGCCCACCCGCCCAACGGAAGCCCAAAGAGCAACAACCCCTGTGGGCGTTCGGGCGGCCAAGCAGGGCGGCCAAGCAGGGCGGCCAAGCAGGACACCGAACACCTGTTCGACCTTCTCCCAAGAGCGAGGTGACTGTCCTGCTCCTGGACGCCCGAGCAGGAGCAAGGGCGCCCAGGTAACATGCCCCGGGGACGTAGTTGGAGGAGGGGCGGGCGGAGGGGTGGAAGGAGGGGGAAGGGGAGGGGAGGGGAAGGGGAGGGGAGGGGAGGGGGAGGGGAGGGGTAGGGCGAGGGGTAGGGGTAGTGGTAGTGGTGGGAGAAGGGGAAGGGGTGGGGGTAGTGGTGGTGGGGGGGAGGGGAGTAAAGGGTAAGGGGGTGGAGAGGAGGGGAAAGGCTGAGAGGAAGGGTGGGGATAAAAAGGGGGGGGTGGGCGCACATGAGGAGGAGGGGGGGAGGAATAAACTTGTGAAAAACGCCGATAGCAATTCCAAAAATAACGAAAAACGAGAATAATAGCGTAACGGTAAAAAAAAAATAATAATAACTGCAGCGGAAACAGTGATAATAACACCCATAAGACTTAAAAAATAAAAAATAATGGCAATGGTAATACTGATGAAGAAAGTCACATAAATGGACAGAAAACGAAATGCACCAAATGAGGAGATTCCAAATATAACAAAATAATTGGGCGAAACAGAGGAAAAGAATAAAAAGAAATAAGAAAAGAAATAAGGAGCTGTAGAAGGAGGAGGAGGAGTAGAATAAGGAGGTGGAGGAGGAAAGGAGAAGAAGGAGGAGGAGGAGGAAAGAAGGAGAAGAAGGAGGAAAAGGAGGAGGAGGAGGAAGAGAAGAAGAAGGAGGAGGAGGAGAAGGAGAAGGAAGAGATGGAGGAGGAGGATTAATGATAAAGGTAGTAGTAGTAGTAGTTTTAATAGAGGTCGTAGACGCAGCAGTGACAGAAATAGTAATAGAAAAAGGAGGATGAGGAAGAGACGAAAGAGAAAGATCAGACGAAAACAACGACGAAGAAATAGAGAAGAAGAAAAAAGAGGAAGAATAAGAAAAAGAAGAAAAGAAGAAGAAAGAAGAAAGAAGAAGATGATGAAAAGGAAGAAGAAGACGAACGAAAATACAAAATTGAAAAGCAAAGTTAAAAAGACAAGAAAAGCAGAGAAGGAATTGCAATATTTACGGTTATTACCTGTCAGCAGCATCACGGTCCACATTACGAGTACAGTTAGCGAAGTCAACATACACGCACTCACGCACGCACTCAAGCACACAAGCACGCACCCCCATCGCCGCAGCCAGGTCACAACACTCGTTCCACGCTCCACGCTTTGTACTCCACTCTGGCATTCCACTCTTCATTCTCCACGCCTCGCTCTCCACTTTCCACGCTCCATACTCCACCCTCCACTCTCCCCTCTCCATGCTCCCCTCTCCCCTCTCCACGCTCCACTCGCTACACTCCACTCTCTCCTCTCCACACTCCACACTCCACGGTCCACTCGCCTCACTCCACTCTCCCCTCTCCACGGTCCACTCCACTCTCCCCTCTCCACGCTCCACTCTCCACGCTCCCCTCTCCCCTCTCCCCTCTCCACACTTCACGTTCCACGATCCCCTCTCCTTTCTCCACTCTCCACTCGCCTTACTCCACTCTCCCCTCTCCACACTCCACTCGCTACACTCCACTCTCCCCTCTCGACGCTCCACTCTCCCCTCTCCACTCTCCACGTTCCCCTCTCCTCTCTCCATGCTCCACCCTCCACCCTCCCCTCTCCACGCTCCACTCGCCTCACTCCGCACTCCACGCTCCCCTCTCCCCTCTCCTCGCTCCTCTCCCGCACTCGCCTCACGTCCCGCCGAAGGATCGTCTTAGGCCCGAAGGATCCCACGAGCTCCGCCACCACCCATTACAAGGACCGTGACGTAACGAGCCACGCGAGAACCGTCGCACCGTAACGCCGGGTCGCCTGCTGGGTGCTCGTAACGCCGCGCTCGTGGGGTGACGCCGACTGAATCTGGGATTAGTTTGATTTGAATTTTATTAATCGATAATGGCGTCCTCTGTGAATGCTGATCGGGCTTTCTGAAGCTTCGGGTGTGGGGAATTGTATTTGATCTCGCGTGTGTGTGTGTGTGTGTGTGTGTGTGTGTGTGTGTGTGTGTGTGTGTGTGTGTGTGTGCGTGTATGAGTGATTGAGTGAGAGAGAGAGAGAGAGAGGAGAGAGGAGAGAGAGGAGAGAGAGAGAGAGAGAGAGAGAGAGAGAGAGAGAGAGAGGAGAGAGAGAGAGAGAGAGGAGAGAGAGAGAGAGAGAGAGAGAGAGAGAGAGAGAGAGAGAGAGAGAGAGAGAGAGAGAGAGAGAGAGAGAGAGAGAGAGAGAGAGAGAGAGAGAGAGAGAGAGAGAGAGAGAGAGAGAGAGAGAGAGAGAGAGAGAGAGAGAAGAGAGAGAAAGAGAGAGAGAGAGAGAGAGAGAGAGAGAGAGAGAGAGAGAGAAGAGAGAGAGAAGAGAGAGAGAGAAAGAGAGAGAGAAAGAGAGAAGAGAGAGAAAGAGAGAGAAGAGAGAGAGAGAGAGAGAGAGAGAGAGAGAGAGAGAGAGAGAGAGAGAGAGAGAGAGAGAGAGAGAGAGAGAGAGAGAGAGAGAGAGAGAGAGAGAGAGAGAGAGAGAGAGAGAGAGAGAGAGAGAATCCTAACAAAATCTAAATAATGATAATAATAACAATTGAGAAAACGAAAATAGCCTGAAAATAAATAAAGGAATCACATACATACCCACCGTTCCTTGAGTTCCCAACTCCTAATGCTATTAAACGGAGTATTTCCAGTGCAAGAAGCGGCGCTGCAGCTGTATTATTTAAGGCCTGCTGGTTGTACGACTCTGACCTAAGGTCACGCAAGAGATATGTTGCCCGGGCTGCTTGACCTTAGTTCACGTGGGCGGAGGGAGACTGCATAATGCCGAGTGGTAATGAAGCGCATGGGCTGCATCGGGAGAAGCAGCGACATAAATTAGAACGGCCTGCTACGATAAAGCATAATGCTGGATATACATATTCATGCAGGCATTGTACTCTCTCTCTCTCTCTCTCTCTCTCTCTCTCTCTCTCTCTCTCTCTCTCTCTCTCTCTCTCTCTCTCTCTCTCTCTCTCTCTCTGCCACACGCACAAATGCATGCACACACACACACACACACACACACACACACATAAAATGACCTGACCTCCTATCGCCCGTTGAACTAGCACAGGCGAGTCAGCCCTTCCTCGAGCAGTGAACTAAGATCCTATTCCCGCGAGTGAAAAGCCCAGCAACTTATCCGGACTCACAATATGCTTATAAAACCTCCGCCTCTCCGGACGCGGACGCAGAGGGTCGAGCGCCTCGGCCGACACAAAAGCCAGAAGAACCTTCTCCTGGACGCTTGAGGGAGCCAGCATCCGCACCAGTGCCCCCCCCCCCCACGACGCCCGCCTGACCACCCCGCCACGCTCGAGTGCCTCCGCCCCCCCCTCCGCCCCTCGGCCCTCGCCCCCCTCGGCCTGGTGCCCTTCCCCCACCCTTCTGATTCCTCTGCTCCCTCGCCCCTTTCCCTCTCCCCTCTCCCTTTTCTGCCGCCTTCGAATCTGCCTTCATCCCTCTCCCTTCTCAGCTCTCTGCCCCCCTACCCACTTCCCCTTTCCCTCTCACCCTTTCTCCTTTTCCTTTCCCCTCTCACCCCCTACTCCCTCTCCATTTTTCCCCTTCCCCTTCTCTACATCCCTTCTCCTCTCCCCTCTGCCCCCTCCCACTTCCCCTCCCCTTCCCCCCTCTCCTCCTCCTTCCCCCGCCTCCCTGGGTTCGTTCGCCATGACCTTTGGGCCACGTTTTAATTGCATTTTCATTCCCCAAACGTCAGGTATCCGGTCCCGCGCCGTTATTCACCGCGCATTCTCGGCCTCTCCGTGGTGGAACGTGTCCCGGCCTCTTCTTCTGCTTCTCGGAGCGCCCTCGCGGCATCCGAGTTCGTCTGGAGGAGGGAGAGGATGCCCCTCGACGCCAGCGCCGCCGCCACCTGCTGCCCTCTTTCCTCCCTCGTTTCCAGTTCCCTTTCACCATGTCCTCCTCTCCCCGCTTCGCTTCACCTTCCACCAACCTCTGCGCTTCTTTTCTTCTCCTCCCTCCCCTTCCTCCTTTTTACCCCCAGATGCCCGACGCCTGATACCCGACGTCCAATGCCCGATGCCCGTCGTCCGCCCACGCCGGCCATGATGCCCTCCACGGCCATGCCCTCCATTTTCTGA